TAGGCTCAGGTAAGGCAAGCAGTGTCAGGGCTGAGCTGGACCAAATTGGAGGGAACTACTAAGTTGAGGTACGTCTCTCGCACCCAGGTGTAGTGGGGCACTTGTCAGGGGTAAGCGGTGTTGATGGCCAACCATATTCCGTATTTCACCAGCTCGTCCAATGCTGTTGGTGGGATGGCTTGCAGGAACCCCGAAAGGCGACTTGGAAAGTCAAAAAAAATCTCAAACCCGCTAGCCTCTACTTCCAGACAAGGGGGGGTGAGGCAGAGACAGACACGGACGACAGTCTACAGCAGAGCAGACCTGATGGACAAGCAGGGACCAACGGTTTCTGGGGGTTTGATAGAGGAAACTGGGGAGTTGGCGGGAGATCCCTCAAGATGAGCACGGTGGGCAGGTACCGGTCTATCAGACGGCTCTTTTGGGATATGTACTCTCCACGATGTTCAAATGGACCAGGCCGCCAAAATGGGCTGGACTCGCTCCTTCCATGGAAAAGCACGGGTAATGGAGTGCCTACTAGGTACGTGACTACGTATCTGCGGTATCTTACCTCGCCCCGTACCGAATGGAAGGGACGCGTCCAGTCGTACGCACAGTTTCAACACAAAGTTTCGACACAGTGCGACGCAACAGACACCAGGAAGCAGTCATCCAGGACTGCCTTCCTTCCCGCCAGGTCTTCTCTTGGGATTACCTTACTGCGTACGAATACTCCGCATTGCCGTTTTGTGCAGTTCGGTTGGCTCAGATTCCCTTGTCAGGATGTGCCTACCTTACTACCTTACCTACTTTTGTGTGCAAATCTGTCTGCGTCTGCATCATGTCGCCTGCAATACAGCGCTGCCTGGTCGATTTCATTGGCAACGGGCAGTTCTCAAACAGGTGCATATTGGCTGCACTGGCCATCAATTACTTGATGAGGGCCTGTAATCGATGTCCTCCGCATGCCCCTTTGAATTGGACTTCAGCAGTGTAGTGACGAATCGTTTAGTATTAGCCCAGCATGCCGTGACTTCCTGTTCTTGACTCCTTCCACGTCTCCTCTCCTTCCCTCTCGCAGCAAGAAGTATCCGTAACTTACCGTAGGTACATGGGTACGTCCCCCTCGTCTCGCTTGCTGCCCTTCCTCACCTGCCGCCTGCCCGCGCAGTCACGCAGTGTGCCTGAGTTCCGGGTCTGGGTCCTCCTCCTCCTCCTCCTCCTTCCTCTCCACCTGCTACCGGGTCCCTGAGGTTGGTCCACGACCACGTTTTGCGTCTCATTGACTCTGGGTCCACCGTCCAGTCCCTCCCTCCTCCCTCGTCGAGTCCTCCTGCCCGTTGCCCTCTTTGCGGATACGGATACTTCCACTCAAAGGCGGTAGACCAGGAAGTCGCAGGCACAGCCAGCACAGCCTGAGAACCTGCAGCTACAACCCTTGCATCTTATCTGCGCTTGCTTCAGTCAGGTTCCTGGTTCCAATTGTCTGTCAGAGTGCCAGTCTCCCACTCTTACGCCGCAGCCTGCCCTGTGTGCCTGTGTCCTCTTTTATTTCCATTCTTCCCACCCCACCGTCCATTCCTCTCATCCCTTTCAACCCTTTTCTGCGACAAAAAAACGGTTCCCCCCGTTGCTGCCCGCTGCCGACCATCTGAGTGAGCCAGAGAGTCAAGGAACCGGGAATTGGCTATTCGCCCAGTCAAAGAAACTGGACAACCATCAACAGCCCGAAAGAGGGTCGGTCGAAGAATAATAACAGATACTATCGTTGCCGCCGCCGCCGCCGCAGTAGCAGAAGCGCACACGACACGAGCCGCAGCGCCAAACCAAACGAGTAACGAGCCCACATCGTACGCCGGGGCGCAACGGCACCCGACAGGCACCGCAGAAAAAAATAGGGGCGCGGATTTGCACATCAACACGCAATCCGGGGGTGCCACGAGCAAGTCAGCTCAGTCTAGCCCTTCTCTCTCAACTCAAGCCTTTACAAGCCTGATAAACACACACAGAGAGAGGTGTACAGATTCTCTCTGTATCCGTACCAACAACAGGCACACCACCACCACCACCACCTTTACCCGTTGCGACCGAGAACCCAGTGCTAGAGAAAGACGCCAAACAAGGACCAAAATCGACGCCACAAGACTTGCGCCTCCGTCTCTTCTCACGGCACCACTGTGAGTTGGGTCTGGCTGGTCTTGGTCTGCTTGGTCCGGCGGCATTTTTCTGCCTCGCTATCCACGCCGCCTACTTCCTCTTCGGGATCTTGCTAGTCGTTGCCCTTCATTTCACGCGGTCAACCGCCAACAACGCCTACCCCTTCTCTCCTCTACCGCCAGCCTTGGCTCAAGCCTGCTGTTCCTACAACTGTCGTCCGTCTCCCGACGCAGCCCACCTCCAGTCTCTCCTTCGACTTTCGACTCGACATCGATTTCGTCTTCCACTCTTGTATTCTCTAATCCTTTACATCCTTTTCTTCCGATTCCTCCTCGCTCCTTCGACTCTGGACCTTCGGCTCTCCCTTTCTTCTCCCCTCAATCGACAGCAATTCATCGCCGTCTTCGATTCGCTTCATCGCTCCTATCTTGCATCCCACGGATTCCGACTACTGTTCTCTTTTTCTTCTTTTAGAAAAGAGGCTGCCTTGCTGGACAACCCTCTGAAACGATCGACTCGCTTTCGACATCCCAATTATCAACCGCCGCATCGTTCATTCAAGCCTTCCTTCGCTGCCTACCTTAAGCAGCGTCGAAATCAACGCTCAGCTCATCTCAGCTCAGTACAGCGCACACGCTACCTTGCGCACTGAACAGCACACAGCGCACCCGTCACAACAACCTCTCCAGCGCCCTTTTTCTATTTTGGCCGACAGCCCAACCACCAGTCACTCCTTTCCACCCCAGTCTCTCAAGGTCTTGCATTCCAGCCACGACAACCCCCTCGCGGCATTCGAATTACGTACCCACCGTTGGATTGGCACCGCTTCGTCCATTTTACCGGACACTTCGCTTCGATTACTCGACCTGTCGACGTCTTCTAATCGCTCGACTCGCATTTGCAACCGCGACATTTTTCGAGACTATCTCTCGAAATTTGCTCCGAGGCAATTAACTCTTCGTCCAACGAACTCGCACATCATTCTCTATGCCATCCTACGGCTCTCTTCATTCACCATCATTGCGTAAAATGGAACAATCAAGGGTTCAGTACGGGAGGAAGGGCATTAATTTGGGGAACATCATTGGTGATCCCTTCGCCCTGGCTACAGTCTCCATCTCCATGGTACGTCAATGCCCAGACGCGCCTCGAGAGTTTTTGACTCTTCTCTGTCGGTTCCTCTTTTGTCCACGTTTGTACTAACAGCCCCCTTAGCTAGCATGGATAATTGCTTTCATCAGCTCCATCATCGCGACAACACAAGTCACAAATAACTCCGGCTCATTCCCGCCCTTCGCATGGTGGACCGTCGTCTACATGTTCTTCCTTATCGCAGGAGTCTTCGTTGTTGTGGCTTCAGACACTGCGCAAACCTACCATGTCGCCCTTACCGGATACCTCGGTGCCGCTCTGTCCCTGAACTCACTGACTATCCACTCCCTCATCTACTCCTCCAACGGTGCTCGCCAGGCTGCTGGCGCTGGCTTCATTCTCATGGCCATGGTTACCGTAAGTTCTCTGCGATCGAGGTGAGGGCCAAATGCTTACCTTGCCATTATAGATTGTCTGGATATTCTACTTCGGCTCCGCCCCGTCAGCGAAGCCGCGCGCTTACCTCGACTCTTTCGCGCTCCAAAAGGAGTCTGGAAATCGACAAATGATGTACGGCGGTGGCCGTCCCGAGACCTCAACCTCGGTTCAGCCTCCCCAGATGTACACTTCAGCGCAGCTGAACGGCTTCGAGAACCCATCCCCCGTTCAGGGTATTCCCACGACACAAACTCGCAACTCCGGTGTCGCTCCGACATTCAACGCGGCGCCGCCTGCTGCGAAGCCTCCTGGTCTTGACCAAGAGGTGGTGCCCCCCACCGAGTACCCCTACCGTGCGAAGGCCATCTATAGTTACGAGGCCAACCCCGACGACGCGAACGAGATCTCCTTCTCAAAGCACGAGATTCTGGAGGTCAGCGACGTGAGTGGAAGGTGGTGGCAGGCACGCAAGGAGACGGGCGAGACGGGTATCGCGCCAAGCAACTACCTGATCCTGTTATAATGAGCTCATGATTTTCATTTCGCCGTTGGAGATGGGAGCAAAAAAATGACCATATGGGACATGGAATGGTTTCGCGCTCAAATGCTTGTTGGAGTACATTAAGGTCTCTTGTCCGGGATAAAACCATTGCCGCCTCTTTCGAGCCACAGGCGGCACACGTATATCCGCCGAAACGGCTTCGCTTTTTTTCTTCTTCGACCTGTTGTTTCTACTTCTATCCGCCCACCATTGCGTGCAGGCTTTCTCCCTATTACTGCTAGTGTATTTTGCCATTGTCGCTCGAGCAGAGGGATTGTGTGTTTTCTTTTTGTGTCTTATGGGGCGGTTTTTCACGAGCAACGGGTCGGTCATTCGGGTAGCTATGGTAGCTCGCAGGTGGGATACCCATGCATATTGGTGTTCCCTTGCTGTTTTACGAATGGCATTTGCATATATTCACATTTCATCTTGACATTCTGACAGTGACGATGCGACAACCCTGGGTGATGGCTATCAGTCCAATGACACGTCATCAGCGTATCCGAACCCAACGTGTTATGTGAACAGTGGTGATCTGGGCGTTTCCAGGTCGGCGGTGCATATTTACTTTGTTGGCGCAATATAATCGCCGTTCAGAAGATTCTGCGTGCATCTATCAAAAGGATTTCTTCGTCACCCGTCGTAGGGTATCATAACAACTTCTTTCCGCCCTTCCCTCGGTCACTCTTAGCCGGTGACCGACCAAGGCCCTCGCAACTAAGCGTTGTGTCCAGGCTGCCAGTTCAGGGAGTAGTCGTCTTGCGGTCCCAACACTCAAAACACGCCTGTGTCAAGCCTTTTCCAGCCTCTTCCTCAACTCCCTCTCCTTCGTCAAGACCTCCAGCTCAAGCCTCTCAACACTATACTCCAAACCCTCCCTCCTCTGTCTCACAGCCCTAGCCCGCAAAGCTCTCTCCCCATTCAGCCCCTTCTTCTTTCCACCACTTCCACTAGCATATCCCCCTCCTCGCCCCTTTGCCTTCTTGCTCCCGTACCCATCCTCCTCCTCAGACGGCGCCGCCAACCGGCCCTGCAAGAGCTCACACCTAGCCTGCAGTGTCTCGATGCGCCTTTCGCGGCGCGCGATCTGCGCGTCGGCGCGGTCGAGGAGCTTTGCGATTTGCGGGCCGATTTCGTCGCGCAGGGAGGCCTCGGCGGCGGCGAGGGTGGGTTGGGGGATGAGTTCGAAGTGGCGGGTGGGACGGAGGACGGAGGCGAGGCGGGGGAGGTCGGAGACGCCTGTGTCGAGGGTCGATACGGAGTTTTGGAGGAAGGTTAGGGAGCTGCGGAGGGAGGCTACGCAGTCTGCGTATGTCGCTGCGTTTTGGGACATTGTGTTGTGGTTGCGGTTGTGGTTTTCTCGGTGGGAGTTTGGTTTTGTTTACCCCCCGTTCTCGTTGATTGGTTGTGTTGCGGTGTGGTGAGCTGTTCTGATGATGGGGGATATTGTACGGTGGTGTCAGGGGTGGTTCTCGTCCTCGTTCCGACAAATGCGAGGGTTGAGAGAGAAAGATCGTGTGGCGACGGGGTGTTGTTCGTTGTGGTGTTGATGGTCGAATTGGGCTTGTTTTTGGAGGTTTAGCTTGGAGGGGATGGTTGACAGCAAAGACGGACCTCGATTGTTTACGGCCCCGCTAACTCTGGAACGGGCGAGTACGTACCTCTCGGGAGAGAACTGCAAAGAAGCACAGACCACCTTCCTCCCAGCTCGGTGAAACTCGGTGTAAGGGCACTATTTCCACTTCATGGCATCAAGAAGATGTAGCCGAAGATTGGTGATGCTTTTACTTGAAATCCCGGGAACAAAACTCATAAGGACTTGTTGTAAAGATAAACCGTCTCATGAATGAGCAGAAAGTGACAATGTGCCCCATGGTGGTGAGTGTTGAGATCAAAACAAAGCGCGACTTCCGTACGAGCGATAGTAAGTTTGAAAGGAAGCAGCGTAATATTTACACGTAGACGGGGCCTTTCTGATTTCAAACAACTGGTAATATAAGCGCTTTACTATTCGTTTTGATCTGCAGAGTCTGCTGGCGTCCAGCGCGACTAACATGAGCAGTCATCGAAAACATCCAAAAAAGTCAAGGTAGACACCATCAAAAGAGTTCACCCCCCCGGTGCTGGACTGGGGGCTACATCTCTGGTGCACATGCTGGGACTCGAACCTGAAACCCTAGCTTAGGCTAAGCCAGTTGAACAGGCTCGCCCGTAACCATCCTACCAAACGGCAGTTTGACCTGACCTCACAGGCCTGTGATGCGCCTGCTGCCGTTGGTGACAGGAATGGGTTCGAGGGGGGGTATAAGGGAAGGTTCGTGTGAATAAGCACTGGTGTATTCGTCTCATTGCGCCGGGGCAAAGAGCCTACCTTGAGGGCTGAGGCGGCTATGGACAACGATCTGGGGCCAATGGTTCCAGATTTGTTTACGAGGCGTGTCGTAGCACGATACCTGCCTCAGAAACGGTAAAGCCTGTATCCCACCTTTTCTGCTGTATCTTTTGGGGTTAGCAGTTGTTCTAATTACTTTTTCAATGATCTCAAATACAAGGTGTAATAACTACCAACCATCAAATCCTGTAAAATGTCTTCATCATGACCGACAATGATATCATCTTCGCGGATCCCTGGAAATAATCCGCAGCCCATCTTTTGATACCATATATTGGAAAATATGCCAAGCAAGAGGATATGGAAGGCGATATGGGCCGGGCAAACGGCCCTTTCACTTAACTACATCCGAGGTACCTTAAGTTACGCCCACTTTCTCATCTTTCAACATAAACACACGCAATTCATTTCCAGATCCATGACTTTCGTAGTGGCCTAAAGGCTACCATGCTGGTTTTATATCAACAACGTGGTTTCAATTCATGAGCTACTGGGATAGTTAATCTTTCCGTTGTCTTTTAACGATCTTTCGAGCGTCTCTAGAATCGCTACCCAGGCTCTGATAGGATGACACAAGCAAAGATCATCGAGATTTCATACGGAATGCTGCTGCTGGCTGCGAGACCTTTGATCACAGAGGTCTTCAGTAGAATTGATGTGATAGCGAACGAAGGCGACCTGGATAGCCGTTGAAACTGATGATGCGAGCAGGAGCTGAGTGATGATATGTAGGACTAGCCTCAACTGCGAGCTCATATGAGGCGTTCATGTTGAAAGACTATCCAAGCCTTCGGCGAGCCCGAGTCCGGCTCAATCCGAGCAACGTACGTCGTGCGCCAAGTTGGTAGGCATGCAGTCTCACCAACATGATGTAAGCAGCCTCTTCTCAGTGGCAATCCACGAGTGGCCAGAGATTCCGAGGAAAACAAACGGGTCACCCGTTTATCGAAGTGAGCATGCAGCCAGTGCCAGCTGGTCTCACTTCTATCAGCCCAGCAAGGTGATGCGGAGGTTTCCGCAACGCAGTGGCGTTGTCTTCTGACTACGTGCCAAGTCCGAGAGCTCCAGGAGGTCTGACCCGCGGTGTTTACTGATTGAGTGAGGAGCTTTCATGCGGTGTTTAAGCGCGAGTTTGGCCAACTCCTTAGGTTCGGTTAAGTATATGCGTCAACTTGACGCCTATGACACCACGCTCTTCGGCCGTGTTGGCGGTGACTATGGTGCTTTGTGCCCCCTTAGCAAACTCTGACGGATGACTGCATGCACGGTGTTCTTGAGGCGTTCATTGACCTGGCTTGGCTTACCACGTACATACATCAGAAGAGCCGGTCCAGAAAGCATCACTTGGTCATGGAATCTTTTCTCAAATGCCATCAGCCGGAATCGCACTTTCGACATTTTGATACATAACCTCAATGCCCTTCCTGAAGACATTATACCCCAAACATCTTACTATCACACCAATTACCACTGAAATCCTTGAATCTTACAACATCAAGCATTCAAGCGTTAAGCAAACATGAATCGTGCTCAAAAGTCTGTGTCCACACGACATTCGGCTAGCCTCTCTTTCGTCATGTCCCTAGACCACAACAACCACCCCTCGGTGAACCCAGCAGCAACTTCAAATGTGAGGCTTGTCCTCAAATTAAAGTACTATTAGCAGCTAGCTATCCGAGACTGAACATTATTAGGCATCCACCCCAGCCACAGATGGCACCAAGCCAGCGAGCTCAGGTCCATCCACCAACAGCACCGCTACTGTAATCGTAGCCGTCGTCGTGGGTCTTGTGCTACTGACAATCATCGCCTGCATCGCTATCACGGAAAACCGCAAGAAGAAGGCAGCGGAAGGCTCAAGAGCCAGGGCGAATGAAGACAAAGAGAGGGCGTTGGTAGGAAGCGGTTCGAGGGATTCGTTTGGAAGCTTCGAATCGGAGCTGAAAGAACCTGAACCTGCAATGAAGGTTTTTTCCCGCATAGCTTCCTAGAGAGTGGTAGATATATGTTTGTTAACCAATGCAAATGGAATTGAGTTTGATGTCTCCAAGGTATCAATAATGATCATTTTGAACCGATGTGTAGCCCGGGTGCACCACCTGCACTACACGCCTCCGAGTTCCGATTCGTGCCGGGAGGAACCGATTCCCTCAATTCCCGCGGCGATCAAGGTACGATATCACTCCTCCCGGACATCGGAAGTTACGCAGTTCGAATCTTCAGCCAGCCATCTCAATGTCGAGGCAAGATTGGTCCGTGTTTCTTGACTGAGGCCGGGGGTAAGTCGACCTAAGATCCGGACCCACTCGGATCCAACAAGTGCAACTACTCCGGTACGGGCCGTCCGCACGGACGCAACGAGCCGTTCGGTCTTGCGCTACGGCATCTGTCGTTGCGATCGGTCCGTGTAAGTGGCTATAAGAGTGCTACTTCACTTCACTCCATGAGCCTCACATTTCGTGTAGACTGCAGACATTCTAGTCACTTATCACCTGCACTCACACATACTCAGCTTTGAAAAATCACCATTCTTCTCGCTTCACATTACTTTCCAGCCCGTAACCATGGAATTCAACCTCAGCAAGCCAAACCGCAAGATCCATGCCGGTGTTATACTGACCAGAGGGTAATTATTGAGTTATTCTTTCCCGACTCCCCTGATGGCAATCGAGCTTAGACAATTACAGCATCACCGAAATGCTCGACGTTGCGCCCTTTGAATTCTTTGCCTGCACAGACAAGGCTTCGCGTCAAATGTTGAACCTACCGCAGGAGATGTGGGAGGACAATGTCGAGTTTGACCTTCACTGGATTACTGAGGACGGCAAACCGGCTCAAATGAAGAGCAGGGCTCAGATTCAGCCAACGGTAAGTAGCGCAAGACACCTCCTTTTAGTAGAGAGATTTTTCCGATATTAATATCTGATTATAATCCAGGACTCCTTTGAGTCTTGTCCACCCTTGGACATCGCCCTCATGGGAGCCCACGACCCTGGATATAAGACCAGCGAAGCTGAGATTGTCTTCATCCGCAAGGTCTACGAACAGTGCAGCGCCTTCCTGACTATATGTGCCGGTATGTTTCCACTTCTAGAAGCTGGCCTTCTGGCTGGCAAGACGGCAACTTGCCCCCGCATGGTCGTCGGTGCCATGAAGAAGAATGTTCCGGGCGTTAATTGGGTTGAGACTCGTTGGGCACACGACGGAAAGCTGTGGACTTCGAGCTCGTTGCTGAATGGCACCGACCTGATGCGGGCTTTTGCCGAGGCTACGTGGGGAGGGAAGACTAGGAATGGGTGGGTCGACGCAGTTCTCGATATTGGTGCTTTCCCAGTAAGAGATATCAATTTCAAGGATGCTGAGGAACACCATTACCCTGTCGAACAGTTCCCCTTCTAGGCTGATAGCCAATATAGATGAGCGGCATGATGGGCCTTGTTACGGGCGTGCTAAGGTCATAACCTAAGTCTGATGACACTTGTCCAGTGTGTGTGAAATTTTAGTAGTGTAGAAGCAGGAACATGCTACCAGGTATGATTGCCGTGTTCGCTGAGGTGTGGCAAACTTGACCCATTATAGGTACAGTGTGTTGCTGCTACAATCCGGACGGAGCTAACACTGTCTGGACTGTGTGGGCCTCTTGGTGACTGCCGAACCGGCGGTCGTTCCTGCGGTCCGGTCGTGTGGTTCGTCACTGACCGGTGAAGTAAACTCCGATGCGGAGTGATGTCAGCCCATCGCACGTCCCTTCCATTTCCATCCACCTCCCGACTTCCCCAGCACTTTTCGAATCGTCACACCAACATCACATTAACTTCTTAGAAACGTCAGGCTTGTCTAGAGGCTTCACACTCAGACATCGCAAAGTCCCAAGTCAAAGTATCTCGAAAACGTCGACAAGATGTCCCTCAGAGTGAGTGGCCCAAGGTAGCATCAAAACGGGCCCCGCTGACACCGATACACCAATAGACTCTCGGCGCAAAGGCTGCCGCGGCCTTGGACAAGGACCTCATGAGCACCGGTGCCTTCTCAATTGACCAGCTCATGGAACTTGCCGGACTATCCGTGTCACAAGCGAGTGAGCTCCTCCGACTGCCAGTGCTTGCTCAGGGTTTCGGTTGACACCTTGATGCAGTTTATCGTGTTCACCCTCCCAGCCGAGGTCTGAACATTCTCGTTGCATGCGGCCCCGGTAACAATGGTAAGCACCCTCCCAAAGATTCCGCCCCCTCAACCACCAAGCATCTGACCAGGACCCCTGTACAGGTGGCGATGGCCTAGTGGCTGCCCGGCACCTCCGTCACTATGGCTACAAGCCGACTATCTACTATCCCAAGCGGAGTAAGAATGATTTGTATCAGGTGAGTGAAGATGCCATTCGCTTTTGTCTATCTCGATCGATGCGTTCGGCGCATAGTACATGGGGATGTTCTTGCAATTACATACCATCTATCGGTGACTTCTCTTGAGCACTTGGTCACCCAAGCTCAGAATGATTTTGTTCTCCTCCCACGCCGCGCTATGCAAATGCACAACTCTATGATTCTTCTCTTGAGAAAAGGGAGTAAAGAAATTGGCAGCATCTTTGCGTATATACGGTGCTGCAATAGAAATTGACCCCTTCCGACCTTCGTTCTCCGTGGGGCTTGCCCTCGATTGGTCGTGGCTTTGCTGACTGAAGATTCTTCAGCGGCTGGCGCAGCAGTTGGTGGATTTGGACGTTCCGTTCGTCGACGATTTCCTCACGGCGGTGAAATCGACCGATCATATTGTAGACGCCATCTTCGGTTCGTTCTTTTCCCTCTCGTCTACACCTCAATAATCCGTGTACGCGCCTGACATTTTGATGCCAGGATTCAGCTTCTCTGGAGAGGTCCGGGAGCCTTTCCCCGCGGTGATCAAGGCGCTCGAAGAAACAGAGTTGCCGGTCACTTCGGTTGACGCCCCTTCATCGTGGGATATCGAGAATGGCCCGCCGTCGTCCGGCCCCGGGAGTTCGTTCCAACCTGAGGTCCTTGTCAGCCTGACAGCACCAAAGCCACTGGTGGAGCATTTCAAAGGACGGCATTTTATCGGCGGAAGGTATTTCCTGAATTCTACGATAGCACCAAGCTTGAAAAATCTGATGGCTGACCTTGGGAGCAGATTCGTATCGCCGGGCATTGCTGAAAAATACAACTTGGAAATTCCGCAGTACGAAGGCGTCGACCAGGTGGTGGAAGTTGATAATAACGGCCAGAAGCTGTGAATTTGTCAGTCGATTGAATTTTACCACAATTTTACTGTGTATTATCCAAGGGCACTTACAGTCAGCTCTTGCTTTCTCTTTTTTCCTTTTCCGAAGTTTCCCCCTAGATGACCAAGCAGCCTCCCACGCGACTATTTGGACAAACAGGACTCGGACATCGCCCGTCGAGCATCTGCATTGGGTGTACTACAACACCAAATGGACACTCCAATAAAGGAGGATGATATGCGTGACAAAAAGCGACATAGACTAGGAAGAGTCTCCGACAGACTGGGCAAACAGATTTGTGCTCAACACACATGAAAGCCGAGTGAGAAGGACGTTGAGCCTCTCGAACAGCGTGTGACGAGTGATTCGGAGGAAGTGTATCTGAAAAAGGGCAACATGAGAGTATTGTCCCGGATTGAAATGAATGATAGACAGAGTAATACGCGAGGGGACCACGGAGGCAGTTGGACAACGTGCCAAACCGGTGGCCTTGGTGTGGCTGATATAAACAACAGCTGTGGCTGCCCCGCGACCTTGGTTCGGGTCATCCAATGGAGAGCAAAGTTTTGAAGGAATTGCCACACAATGGGTTCCACCAGGACCCCTTGCTGGGCCGGAGCGTTTTCGACGACGACGACGGACGTTGCGGACGGAGGATATCGAAGGGTTCTCTTCTGGTTGGTCAGTGCGGACAGGGTCTTTGAACCGGGGCGGGAGAGGCGAGCCAGTACGGATAGTGTACGTAACGGACTCGACGGGAAGAAAAGTTTAGGTGGTGTAGGATGTACGTTGTACTTGGGGGGGAAGGGCGGAAAGAAGGCAACATACGAGGGGCAAGTGAACTTGTGAAGGGAAAGGTAGAAGGGGAAGAAAGGTTGAGACGAGAAGGGCAGGGCAAGTTTGGCGGCGGCGGAATGGAGCGGATAAGGCGACAACAGTAAAGCACAGTTCTAATCATACTGGACAAAATTGATTTGTCTGGTTGGGCATATATTTTGGTGCGTTTTCATATCCCGTTCTTTTTCCCACGGTCATCCCCCCTCTCATTAGAGGTACTCTGTACTCTGTGCTGTACGGAGTACATACATATTGCCTGCCATAAACCTTTTTTTCTCATAGCTGCATCCCCAGGTCAGGCCCATGTCCGGGTCAGGTAAGGTACATTGAAGGGTGCAAAGCCACAACTCTGGGCCCCAAGACGGCCCCTTCAATGGGGGAACGGGTGGGAAGACTCCAAGGAAGGGGAGAGAGCGCGCGCGGGCAAACAGTCGAATGGGGGCATCTCCAACTCACGGCATAGAACAAGCTGGGCCTTGTCGGAGCAAATGCTCCGTTTACCCCTGTGATAGGCCCGAGCGGCAAGGCAGCGCTTACGGGGCTGCATGGAGCACTGCGTGGTACTACCGAACGGGGCCCGCTCATCCTCTTTTTCACTGGGACGAAGACTGGGAGACTGGAGTGCAGTGCACTTACCTTTAGTGGTCTTGTGCCAGTTATGGAGGAGCTAGAGGCAGTTCCACCTTGAGGGAGAGTGAGAACGAGTGAGAAAGTGGAAGCCACGGTTGGTGCTACGGTTGGTGGCCCTCCACTCCTTCTTTGCATCTCATTCTACACTACTGAGGGAGGTTAGAGGTAGGGTAGGTACCTTAGGTACCATACACCGACGAACCTGTACGGGTGTACACAGCAAGGTATAAGATGAAAGTGCCTGGGTTCCCAGGACGTTCCTGCTGACGTCGGAACCCCGTCAATTGGAGTCGGAGCAGAATCATTGTGTTCCTTCAGGAAAGGTCCAAAGTGAAAGAATAAAAGAAGAGACGAAGAAAAGGGTCCAGCACTATTGTTGGTGATGTGGGATGTAGCAGGTACAATCGACCGGGTCACTTGCTCCTGCTCTCGTTCCTTCCTTCATCCCACCTCATGGACCCAAGGTATTTCTGTAGTGTACCTGGCCCTTCCTTGCCTCACTTTCCATCTGCCCTCTTCTCTCTTCTGCACTCATACACTTCCGTCGTCTTCCTGCATGCCAGCCTTGCGCTTCCTTTACTTCATCCATTCAACATTGCCCCCTCCAGCTGCCGAAAGCTTTCTCCATCGACCAACACCAACCAGGCGGGCCGGTTCATTTGCGCTAAACCGTCATGGCCGTTTACCTGTCGGTCTTTTCCCTTCGCTCCTCGGATCTCGACGACTGCTATTATTTGGCCTCGGCCTCCGAGTGCCGGTCGTCCCAACGTCTAGCATCTGTATCGAGTTCTGGACTATTCGCTCCGGTCGCAATACAGCAGCTCATGGTGCCAATGCTAAGGTGCCGACCCGAGGAAGACTGTGGTGGTTTACGGATACTGCCCAGAGACTTCACGTCGGCAAGGGTAGGACAACCATGCGTGGCCGGGCCGTCCGCGTGGCTCTCCGGTTATCTGTCCCTCCAAGGCCCCTGCCGTTCTCGAGCCAAACAACGGTTCGCAAGACGTCATCGACACTACCAGGAATGGGGGTGTCCAAAAATGCATCATGGCCCCGAGAATTCTCGTGACCACAAGGGCAGAAAAAAAAAATACCCTTCTACTTCAGTCGCGAAACGGATCTTTGGGTCCTTCGCAGCCTCGAAGCCTCGTGGTCTAGTTCGCCCCCATCTCACGATAACTTACGATCGGTTTTGTCAGGCAACGCGAAAGTATCAATCCTTACCCTTGTCAGGTTCACATGACGATTTTTGCGTCGGTTAGGCACAACGATACGTCCTCCACATCTTGAGGACAATCAAGTACACGAAATTTGGCGGCGTGTCGGCGAACTACACAGTAGCGACCACAGACCTCAGGGTGCCTGGAGTTTCTGGTGCCTTCGAGCAATATGGCCGCGTCCCGCTCTAAGATGAGACCCTGGACGGGAAAGCCCTCTGGGTCTCCCGTTAGGATCAGGCTAAAAGCTACCGGACACAGCGATTAACCTTGACTCGGCCCCCGCCAAATTGAGGCTGATGCTTTTCCCACTGCAAATGTGGTAGCTTGTGCACAGCAGTCACGCAGTCACGCAGCCACGTAGACGCACGCAATGGTTGGACCAAGTAGGGCCCGTTAGCCTGGCGATCCCTTCGATAAGACGGGTTTCCAAGGATCGCGCCGCCCTCAAAGCAGAAGTTCTGCACAGGCCACGCAGC